CTTTAGAGAATTACAAGTTGTTCAACACATGCTGCCTAGGGGGTAGCCCAAAGATCCTGGATCAACTTAGCTTTCACCAGACCCTATGAAGTCTGCGCATATTCATTGAAGAGTACTGTGTAAAATATAAAACTTGGAGTATGTCCCCTTGAGGTCAGCACAGTGCTAAGGGGTGAAGAAAGTAGAGAGGGATAGGAAGTTTGTATTAAATTCAAACACTTTGGGCAAGAATTTACACAATCTCATACAACTGGGAATTTTATGCAAAGTACTTTAAGCAAAGTACATAATTTCATGATGTATCACTAAAGAGGATAAAATTAACAGTTCTGAAAAAGTTGTTACAGGTGACAAATTTTATACAACTTTTAAAGATAAAGTATTGATGAGATACTATTCTAAAAATCTTATCCTATGTTATATATAAAAATGGCATCCTACAGCTAGGATAAGTCTTTAGTGAAAGTAGAAAGAAAAAAGGCTTACAAAACAAAAAGCTTTGAACATAGATTTCAACAAAAACTTAATCTACCTTTAACTATCCCCTAGGTTAATTGTAAAAGTTTTACTTCCTTTTTGTTTTGACGTTTGAAAATTATTAAAGCTGGTAGTTTTGTCTTCTATTACCAGAATAATTTATTTGATTTAACACTACAGATGGTGTTAATATAATGAATACAGAACACCAATGAGAATCTTAATTATATCTCTTGAGACCTCCCTCATTCCAAGAATGTGTTTAAGTGCATAATCTATTATACAAAGAAAAATGCCACATAAATCACCATGACATTATAGAACCAAATTCAAGAGAAAACAGAAGAATGTGTCAACCATTAAACTCTTTAATACTAATTCTTAGAAGTAACAATCTATAGAATCTGTACTAATGAAAGGGAATTATATGTAGCAGTTAAGAATAATGGACTTTGGAGTAAAAGAACTAGGCTTGAGTCTATGACTCGTGCTGTGCAGCCTTGGGCAAGCTGCTTAATATACCTGGGCTTCAGTTCTTTCATCAGTGAAGTTAGATAATATTACTATCTCATAGAATTGTAGTCAGGACAAAAGAAAATAATACATGGAAAATCAGAGTGCTTAGCACAAAAAAAAAGCTGAATAATCATTAGCTAATGTTTACTATTAATTATAGTTGTCTAAGATATATATCTGATGTGTGATTACATTATATATTTTTCTATTTACCCACCCTGACAGAGTGCTTAAATCTTTTCATTAGCACTATAAAAAAGTGGGTCTTCATGGAAGTTTTTCATTTCATCCATTTTATAAACATAAATGATTTATGATGATAAACAAAACATTTATATTTTAAGGATTTCTTTGTATTTGTCACAAAGATTATCAATACTTTTACATGAAAGAGCATCTACATACAGTTTTATTAGACTATTTAATGTTCACACACAATACATAAATGCTTTTGAAGTTGCAAAGTTCTTTGATAATTGCAATATCATTGTCAAATAAGCACAGTATAACCTTAAATATTACATTATTCAGATTTTGTTTTTAAGAAGAGATAAACCTGTAAGAGATCACTCCAATTTAACTGTCCGTTAACTATTTGCAGCAAAACCCAGTTCCTAGTAGCTGTTTCAGCAAATGGATGGCTCTTCTACTGCCTGGGCACCCTCTGTGACAGCTTTGACACACTTGGCCATTGTCTGTGAGGCTCTGCTAATTGAATCTGAAAGATATTAAGAAAATGTGCACTTTGATAATACGC